TCCTCTGGAGGTCAAGGCAGGCTTTGGGGCTTGCTTCCCTGTGTTTCTGTGCTGAGAGCCAGGAGTGCAATAGTTCTGCCCAAGCCTGGTGTCTGCACTTGGTGGAGAGTCTCCTTTTAAATAATTTGTGTTCTGAGTGGGGAAGTGATGCCGAGAGGGGTAAAATCCATCAGTCTCTAAAATTGAGTGTTCTGTGTTCCCTTCATCTATTTGGCTGTGGGACAAATGGTTGATGTATCTCTTAGCAAAGGTGTTATAAAGAAGCTTATAAACTCATATGTCATGTCCCAGAAGTACAAAATAAATACAATGAAAAATCACCTCTCATTATAGTCAGTGAAGTGTAGAAGTTTGTACTACAGTGCATAAGCCATATCACTCATATTGATTGCTAGTTCAATGAAGTGTTGCAAGTCCTAGTGGGAACTCGTCAGAAAGAATGTTAATGGCTCTATATGAAGCTGGGGAATGAAAGCTGGCAGATTTCCTTGGAGAATGTAAGGATCACCTTTGTCTGAATGAGAGTAAATCTCTTGCTGAAAATCTGTTGTGAATGTCCCTGTTAGTCATTTATAGAGTCCAGTCAGAAATCCTACCATGCTGGCCTGGAACAGATGGACTTCCTGCATGCTTGGGAGGATGCCAGAAAACAAATCAATGGCTGGGTGGAGGAAAGGACTGAAGGTGAGTGCTTTACTCAGTTCCCAGTTCTGTTTAATGGGAATTAACAATTACCCGTCGTTTGGAAAAACAACCAATTCAGGATGTAGGATTGTGAATTCAAACAACTCAAATGAAAAGGTATTACTCTCTGTCTGGTATATAATTCTCTTTCTTCTTTATTAATTGTAGAGTAGGTACTGTCTTGGGTAATAATTAGATCCATGTCAACCTATAAAATAATGTGGGATTTTTGTTTGTATGATAAAGGTAAAATTCAGAACCTGTTGGCAGAGGGGATTCTGGATTCCCTGACCAGGCTTGTGTTGGTGAATGCCATCTATTTCAAAGGCAACTGGGAAAAGCCATTCAGGAAAGCGAGTACCAGAGAGAGGCCATTCCACATTAATAAGGTATGATGTGCTAAAATGCTGACAATCTTTGCTGAGTTTCTCTGAACTTTCACATAATTACTTGAACCTTTCACAGAGCACAAAGACAGCTAAGAAAATTGTGAATTTCAGTGTTTTTCAGTCAGAGCTTCCTTGCTGAAATTCTGTCCCTGAACCAATCCAAATTCAATGGAAAACAAATTTCTTTGAGGATCTGCTCATCAGTTTTGCTGTTAGTAGTAGATCAGTGCTCTTGAGGAGGACTTGGCCCTTGGCATGGGGGGCTCTTTGCAGTTCTGAGTTGGCGTCCAGGGATTCTGAACCTGGTTCATGGTGATGTGCCTTCATTAACTCACCTGCCTGAAGCAACCATGGTGGAAAATGGAAGCCCTCATGCCTGTATGGAAACTGTCCCTCCCCACAGTGGTCAAATAAGTCACAGACTATTTGAAAGTGCTGATATAACATTTAGATAAGGGAATGTTTCTGCTTTCCAAAACACTGTCTCACACAGCACTTCAGAGACGGCTGGGCTGACTTGGTTCCTGACACCTTGGTCCCTGCCTCCAGGAATGTGTTGAAAAGCTGGCAGGAGCATCCAGAGACACTGTTGCATTTTGTATTCCTTGCAGGTGTGCAAGATTAGAACCAGCTTTCAAGATGCAACACCAAACGCATAAAGGGCTGATGAGCTAATATCGGCTTCTTTTGAGTTGTTATGGAATATCATGCATTGTTTTTACCTTGTGCTTTCCAAAAGGCAGTGGTAGGGCTGCACGCTGTGGTGTGTGATCAGTTCTCCTTGGACAAATCCTAAAAGGCCATGAGTAACTTGCTGCCTGCTTCGTAGTGTGAGACCAGCAGAGAAGCTCAGCACTAACTGTTGGCATCTCTTGATGTCTAGAATGAAACCAGACCTGTGCAGATGATGTTCAAGAAGGCAAATTTTAACATAAGCTACATGGGAGACTTGCAGACCAAAACCCTTGAGCTCCCCTATGTGGGTAATGAACTGAGCATGATCATCCTGCTCCCTGATGCAATCCAGGATGGATCCACAGGCTTGGAAAGAGTAAGTAGTTGAGCTGAGTGCAAAGACTGAATGCTGAATCCCTCCAGGGAAGAAAGTCTGAATTGCACAGAGAGCTGCAGTTCAGTTGCAGAGCAACTGTGTCTCTGGTGCTCAAGGCCATCAGAAATGTCCCTCTCGTCCCTGTCCCCAGAGTGACAGCCCCTGCTGTGTCAGTGCTGCTCAGGCTGTGTGCTGCTCCCTTGGCCAGGGGCTCTGGAAGAAGAGCTGGCCCTGCTCAGGAGCAGAGGTCACCTGTGGTTGTGGGGAAGGCACAGTATGGTGACGATGGAATGTGGAGAGGGGGACTTTGGGTGGGCTCTTTGAGAGTCCTGTGGTCTGTCCAGTAGGTGTTCTGTGCTGGGAGCTGGCAGGTGGTGTGTGGCTGGACAGAGGCTCACAGGAAAGGGCAGGATCTCTTTTTGGTGAGGGTAGGATACAAGTTTGATGTCTTTGGCACTGTGGATAAGGAATTTATTCCAAAAGTTTTGTTGCATTTCCTCCCCATATTGAAAATAAAAAGGAAAAAAATATTAATCTCCATTATAAACTCTTGGGAAATAGTGATGCATGTTTTGTGCTTTATGGCTCTATAAGTGGCTATATTCTCACTGTAATTAAGTAAATTTGTGATTTTTGTTTAGCTTGAAAGGGAAATTACATATGAGAAGCTGATGGGTTGGATCAGTCCTAAAATGATGAGGTCTACAAAACTGAGGGTGTCTTTACCCAGATTTAAACTGGAAGAAAATTATGATCTGAAACCACTTCTGAGCAGCATGGGAATGCCTGATGCATTTGAGATGGGCAAGGCAGACTTCTCAGGAATCTCACCTGGTAATGAGCTGGTGCTCTCTGAAGTGGTTCACAAATCCTTTGTGGAAGTCAATGAAGAAGGCACTGAAGCAGCTGCTGCCACAGCTGCAGTGATGATGAATTGCTGTGCTATGATTGTTCCAGAATTCACTGCTGATCATCCTTTCCTCTTCTTCATCCGGCACAACAAAACTTCCAGCATTTTGTTCTGTGGCAGATTTTGCTGTCCCTAAGGAGGAGAT